GAGAGAGAGAGAGAGAGAGAGAGAGAGAGAGAGACACCCCTGAGAGGATTGGGTACCTTTTATAACAGTTAAGTCACTAGGTCTTACCTAAGGAGTCCTTTTTGTAGAGCTGTATTTGAATGAATAAGAAGTATCTCACTACCTTGTTAGCTAAATAATACTAGTCGTCTTTCATGAGGCTGACCATTTGGGATGAGGTATCTGTGGTAATTAGTAGTTAGGCTCCAGGTGTGTTGATAATGTGTCACAAATCACTGAATCAGGTGCCAAGTAGTCCAGGGCTGATGCTGAGACTGTGGAGCATTTTTGGTCTTTTCTTCCTCCATCTTTTTAATCCTGTCAGATCATTAACAAGATGGGGGAGGTCTTTTTTCTTCTGCAACTGCTTAAGAGCTGAGAAGGGACATCTGAGTGCTCTGGTTGGCACTGATTTGTCATAGAGTCATAGGACTGTAAAGCAGAAATGGCCAGAGCTGCATTTCACAAAGGAAGGGCATAGGTATTGTAGGATGTTGAAAGTCAGACTTTCCAATCACTTGGAGTTCAAGAGGTCTTAGGTGGTGGGAGACAGGAGTATGTGTTGGTGGCAATGTTTGATACTCCTGCGACAACCCCATCTGGAGTTTAATGACCTGTAATCTAGAGATACCAGTTATTTCAGAAGGTTAAGTAACTGGAAGCTGAAGACACAGAACAGAATTAAAAACAAGAATAAGGAGATAGCTGGGCGTAGTGGTGCATGCCTTTAATTCCAGCTCTCAGGAGGCAGAGGTAGGCAGATCTTTGTGTTCTCAGATACCCTGGTCTGCATAGTGAATTCTGATTCTGCCAGGGCTATATAGTGAGACCCTGTTTCAGAAGAATGGGAGAAGGTTCAACAGAGCTAAGAGAACCCAAACTAATCTTTAATATCTACTTAGGATCTGTCTCAGTCAGGATACCCATACTAAATATTGACAGTTGACATGTGCAGCCTGTTTCTGAGGAAAGGCTATGTAGGGCTCCTCAGTTTGGGAGGCCCACTTCTGTCAGGCAGTTGAGGCTTTGCTGTTGTGCCTCTCTAGAAGCTGTTGTGACATTCCATATAGATTGCATGATGAGAGAAATTTCTAATACTCATTTCCACAGCTGAGATTCCCCTTCAAAAGGATCCTCTAAGAATAGATCACCCTATCATTTCCCACTGTAGTACTAGGTTGTGGCTAGTATGCCAAAATCTGGAATCGCAGTCATTCCTTAGATTTTGCTTTGGTTATATTTGAAGCTAGCATGTGAAGGTAGCAGTTCCTTCTTTAGAAAAGAGTCTACATTGGGTTAAGCATCAGAAGATGGGAAATCTACATGGGTGTACAATACTGTACAGCAATCCCATCACCGAGTTGGGAGGGTAGATAAAGGTTGGAGCCACATAAAAAAGTAGGAACCTGCTCTGCTTCCCTGGGCTGCACAACTCACCAGCTTCTCTCCTGGGTAAGTCCAGCAGCACCCACAGTGCCTCAACTCCCCCAGTCTCATTCACCCTCCCAGCTCCCCTGCCCCATCTCTCTTCCTAGCCTGGGTACTGGCCCATTTCTTGTCTTGGTGCCCCAGACACCAGGGCTGACCCTTGGCCCAGAACCATCACTGCTTCCTGATCCTTTGCATCCAGACCAACCCAGTTCCTTCTTGCAGTCCCCAAGAGTCCTCTGGGCCTGGTCCCACCCTCATCCCCACCTGCTTCCCTGGGTGGCACCGCCACCAGCTGCCCAAACCAGCATTTTCCTGGGCCTTGCTCACATACCAGGCCAGCCCCTAAATTCCTGAGGTCAATATCTTTCCTGAAGGAATCCAGACCTTAGGAGAAAGACTGAGAGCATCTGATCCTCATCTGACTTGGGCCTCTGTGGGAACTCCTGAAGACAAAAGCAATTTGGCCACTCCAATAGAACACAAAAGAGAGAATCAGATGCCTAGACCAACTAGCTTTTCATATAGAAATATTGAAGATTACTTAGGCTGAAACGAAGAAGGAAGTGAAACTCTCAGTAAGCCAATTAGAAACAGGGGAAAGCCTCACACAAAGAAATCAAAGAACTGAAGGAAGATAGAGATAAACTTCTGAATGAATTCAGAAAAGTGTTAGAAATATTGAAGAACACTCAGGCTGAAATGAAGAAGGAAGTGAAACACTCAGTAAGACAATTAGAAACGACAGGAGAAAGCCTCATCAATAGGATGAACGAAATGGAAAACAGAGTATGAAGACTGGAAGATAAAGTGGATGAACCAGACCACTCAAGCAAAGATTATGAAAAATTTAAGAAAATGAAAGAATGGAATATGCAGGAATTGTGTAACACCATAAAAAGACCAAACTTATGAATATAGGAAGGAGAAGACTCTCAAGATAATGGACCAGATCTGGTATGGACCAGATCTTCAACAGAATTGTAGAAGAAAATTTCCCAAAATCAAAAGTGGATGAACCAGACCACTCAAGCAAAGATTATGAAAAATTTAAGAAAATGAAAGAATGGAATATGCAGGAATTGTGTAACACCATAAAAAGACCAAACTTATGAATATAGGAAGGAGAAGACTCTCAAGATAATGGACCAGATCTGGTATGGACCAGATCTTCAACAGAATTGTAGAAGAAAATTTCCCAAAATCAAAGAAAGACATGCCCACACAAATACAAGAGGCAATAGAACACCAAATAGACAGGACCAGAAAAGAAACTCTCCACAGCACATCATAGTAAAAACAGTAAATGCACAAAACAAAGAGACAATACTGAAAGCTTCAAAAGAAAACAAGTCACAAATAAAGAAAAACCCATTAGGATTACAGCTGACTTTTCAGTGCAAACTATGAAAGCCAGAAGAGCCTGGACCAAAGTATTACCAGTTTTAAATGACCACAGATGCCAACCTAGATTTCTATACCCAGCCAAAATGTCTATTATAGTTGAAGGGTAAAGAAAAATCTTCCCTGACATAAATAGGCTGAAAGAATTCATGTCCACAAAACCAGCCCTTCAGAGAGTTCTTGAAACAATACAAAGAGCTGAGGAAGGGAATGACTATACCCAAGGGATGGGGAAAGAAATTCAATGAAGT